GTTTGTTTCGAAAGGAATTAATGACGTCAAAAGCTATATTTTGCATAAAATCGCATGACTCATGATAAAATCGTAGTGGGCTGCGATATTCAAAAAATCTCAAAAACGTCCCGAGGTACCTACTAAGGTACTCTTCTAAACTGAAAACCAAAAATCTACTCAACCATCCCTCCAGCAGAATGAGGTAAACCTAAACTTTCGCAAAAAAATCGCCAACTTATGTTTCGCCCTGTATCTTTTAGCAGGTGGCCGGAAATCTGTTAGCAACTATAAATTAAATAGCAATTGGAGCATCCTTTCAGAGAAAGAAAATTTGAACAAATCGGCCTGCTAGATTTTGAGTTATAGTCTTACAAGTGTTCAAGTTCGATTGATGCGTAGTTTAGTTGCTGGATCGTTTTTATTAGATTTGTATTTATGTTTGCAGTTTTAAGAGATTCCCATAATTTGGTTAGAGGGACACTGTCATAGGCTTTTTTCAGGTCTACATAGAGGAGATATAATTCCTTATTTACTGCCGTCATTTTCTCGCTAAGTTGCGCGATACAGAATAGATGGTCTACTGTGGATCTCCCTGCCGTTGTCGGCATATTCTCGTTCGATTTTTCCCTTTAAGATTTTTCCGTATATTCTGCTAATTGTGCTCGTTACTGCGATTCCTGTGTAATTGTCACACATCCCTTTGCTCCCTTCTTATAAATGGTTGACATAAAGGACAGTTTCCATTCGGACGGTACTTCTCCGATGTTCAAGCAGTTTTGGAAGAGTCTCGTTAGGCTTTCATATAGTTCTGGCGTGCCATCGTGCCATGCTTAACTAATTCTGCTGTTATATCACCGGGTCCTAGAGCCTTTCTGTTTTTTGGTTTTGTACAGACCTCCTTCACCTCCCCAACAGATATTCTAATAGGTGAGGCAGATATTTATACTCTGTTGTCCTAGGGTTCTTCTGTGAACTGTTCGCGGTCTTCAGTGAGTAAGGTGGCGAAGTACTTATCTCAATGATTTAGAGTAATCGGAGATATGAATTCTTTGGTCTTCTCTTGCCTGAAAGATTATAGAAATCTCCAGCTTTCTGTGCTTTTCGCTCCTCCTATATAACAGTTTAATCCATTACAGCGTCTTAACCTTTTGTCGATTTTCTTTTGCGTGATCATATTACGTACTCTCCTTGGTGATAGTTCATATAATTCTTTGTGGTGTTCTGTTTGAGTACTAAGATATTTTCCATAGGTTTGTTTTTGTACTTCAATTTCCTTTTCTATCTCTTCATCCCCCCAATAGGGTTTGTTGCGGCCGGTGTTTTCAAAGTATCCTAATGACTCTTTTGCTGCTTCATGTAAGCAACTTTTGAATCAGACGGAAAAAATCTAGCCAAAAATATACAGTGTTCCATTTGAAAAAAGTGTTTGTCATTATGACAGTTGGCACCTTGCCCTTTTTGACACTTGCAAAAGATAATAGAGACAAAACCCTACAACTTTTGCATTTAAATTTTTTTTTCAAATTATTTTTCGTTTAAGCTGTAGAAATTATAAGGAACAGACCCGGTACAACAAAATTGGACACCCTGTGCATGAACCTATGGTTCGAGTACAAATAACTATTGGTATTTTACTTAATTTCTGTGCTAGTTATAGGATTATGTTGTGCCCATGGTAGTTATTGATCAGAAAGGTCAGATCTATAACATACTAAAATTTGGTTAAATTTGACCGCGGTTAGAAATCCCATAAGAAGTGTGCAGGGTCCTTTTACCAAACTTTTCCCAGAAACAAAACAAGTGCACAGGATATCTACTGGGACACCATGTTTAAGCCAAGATCAAAAAAAAAAAAAAAAACGTTTGGATCTTCTACTAGCAAAATATGAAAGCGTCTTCAACCAGACAGCAGGTGAAGTCAAAGGGCCACCTGAAGAATTGCTCCTAAAACCAAGAGCTACATTCCCGTCTTCGCAAAGGCAAGAGAAATTCCACTGGCATTACGCGACAAGTAAGCCAAAGAAATTGAAGCGAATATTGCAACAGGACTCTATAATTACTCAAAATAGGCGTCTACGACACATGCAGTAGTTAAGAAAACCGAAAAAATACGCATTACAGGAAACTATAAACCTATACTCAATCCTCAAATGATAATTGATGAATATCCTATTCCTAAACCTGAGCATATTTCCAACTAAATGAAGAATGCCTGACCTTCAACACTCCAACTCACGGACTGGTTCGACCCACACGACCAGTTTATGGAGCGGCAAACATTCCTGCAATTTGGCAGCGACGCATGGAAATGGTGCTATATGAGCTCCAAATGTTAGACATTTTTTCGACGATGTGGTTGTCTATGCAGGGAATTTCCAAAATATTCTGGAAATCTTAGACCGGATCATGGATAGAATTAAGTTCTACGGGCTACGCCTCAATCATGAAAAATGCTTCTTTGGAGCAACTTCGATAGAGTTTTTGGGACATAAAATCGATGCGCAGGGTATTCATAAATCAGACAAAAATATTCAAGTGATTCGCGACGCACCGGAACGAGCCTCACAGGAGGATATGCAACTTTTCTTGGGTAAGGCCACTCACTACAGTTCATTTATTCCAGACTTGTCTGCAAGGAATCGACCTTTGCGAAATATGCTTCTAAAACAATCTTTTGAATGGACTCCAGATGCCAAAAGAGCACATAAGGACATTAAAAACTTGTCGACTTCACGCCAAGTCACCATGCCTTATGATCCATCACTTCCCTTAATCTTTAGCAACACATGCCAGCAAAACAGGTCTGGGTACTGTTCTCTCACATCGACTTATAGACGGGCGCGAACGACCCATTGCTTACGCCAGCCGAACTATGACTTTTACAGAGCAGAAATATCCTCAAATCGACAAGAAGGCACTTGCTATTGTGTATAATATATAAAATCCATTATTACAAATTTTGCACTCAGAAAAGTCACTTCCCGTGCCCTGCATCAGTCGCATGGCAAATTATGCTGATTACCTCGCACACTTCAACTACAATGTCAAGTTTAAACCAACAAAACTAACGTCAATGCCGACTACTATTCACGTGCACCATTGCCGACCTCAGTTAACCGTATTTGCAAAGGTTTTTCCTGTGTAGGAATAAAGAAGGATGAATTTGATGCATTTCATTATAAGACAGATTCAGCAACTTCCGATTCGCGCAGAACATAGTTCGAGAAACAGCAATTGATCTTCATTTGGGTAAAATCTTTCGTTTATTAGAATCAGGACAAAGCCTCGCACGTGCCGTATACAAGGCACAAGGCACCCGAACTTGAGTACAAGCTTGTCACAAACTGCCTGATTTGATGAGCAAAGAATCGTCATTCCTCCCAAATTACGTAAAGCAGTTCTAAATGACCTACTTCTCATTTCGGCATTGTGAAAATGAAGGGCATTGCGCGTTCTTTCGTTTACTGGCCCGGAATCGACTCGGATATCGAGCATATTGCCAAATCCTGTTAACGACTGTGCCAAATGCTCACACGCACCACCGAAATGTCGTGACCACCATTGAGAATATCCGCATGGGCCTTGGGGGCGCATCCATATTGACTACGCAGGACCCTTTGCTGGAAAAATGTTGCATTATTATACTAGGAGTCAACATTACAAGCAGTACAACAACGGCAACTAGAGTAGCAATTCTTGACAAAGTATTCACTGCTTATGGAGTCCCCAATAGGGAACTTGCAAGTGAACTAAAATTTTCCATTTTTTTTTAAATCGATAGTTTATACTGCACAATATTTATATGACCAGTTTTTATTTAACTGATACCGCCCTTGTTACACAAAAAATAATACTAAATTTGAAATAAAAAATTTCCCGCCAAAACAATAATTCCATGATGACTACCTTCTTTGACGTCACGATTTTGTAAACAAAAATGAACCTGTCAAAAAGTGTCAGTGCAGTGACGTACTGTGTTTAGTGTGCCTATTATCTTTGTGCAGCTGAAAACCCATATTAAGTATAGGTATATTATATAAAATGGAATAATGGAATCAGGAATAAAATATTATTGTTGCTTTGTTCCTGGCTGTACCAACACCTCCATAAAAACTAACGACAAAATCTTTATAAACGTCTCAAAGGACCCCAAGACAAGAAAGTTGTGGTTAAGCGCTGTTAGAAGACACTCAGATGTTTCTTCTCGAAGTGTACTTTTTTGCTGCGAAGACCATTTCGATTTTCCGAATAATATGGAGAATTGGATTCAATTTGTTATGATGGGTAAGTCAACACAGAAAAGAATGAAAAAGGATATAGTGCCCCATCGGTTTAACTGCCAAAAAGACAGAAAACGATCACATTCAACCGCATCTACACGAACAGCACCGGTAAAATGACAACGGTTGGAAACTCAAAGCCAAATAAAGCACAAAATCAAGCAAAAAATAAAGCCATCAGCTGCCGCAAGTAATGTTAGATGAGGTTGAGGTTGAGAATGTGGAAGAAACCGGTGGTACATCAACATCTTGGAGGCCTTCATTAGTTAACGTTGCTGCCCAGGTTAATATTAAACCACATTTTCGAAGTAAAGGCGTTCAAGTCGTGCCTTCTTCTTCTACAGTTGCTGTATCAACTATACACTCCTAAGAGTGCCTATAGCACCATCAACAAAGAACAGTCCTTCGTCTCAATTCAAGTCATCTCCTTTGCCAACAAATAAAAGTTTAAGTGTATCACGTGCTTGGCAGTTATTCTCGTTGCCAAAAAGCGAGTCAGTTAGTGAATTTTCTCTTAAATCAGGAACATCGTTCGAATATTATGAACCTGACAGTTCTTTTTCATTGGCAAGTGATAGTGATAGCGTCGCAAAGGAGTCACTTCAGGAAATGTCCTTATCGAGAACTCTTAAAATTATTTGAAAAAATCCACGATTTTATATTGGAGTACCTGAAGATTTTTACTTCATGATAGACCTTTTAAGTATATAATCACTTATCAGTGTAAATAATATATTATTAGTGTTGAAAAAAATTTCTCTTGGCACAAAACGTTGCGAAAAACTGTGACGGTACATTTTCGATTTCATGTTTTTTTGACCTAAAGTTGTTCGTCTTCACATATTTTAGGCTCGCTCCCACTTTGGATAGAGAAGATTTCTTCCAATAGTTCGTAACAGACGTTGAGGCAGGTTCTTCGCTTCTTCGATGGAGCCACATTAAAAAAGCAATGGCATGCTTGCAGCTCCCTAAAAATTGACGTATTATTTGGACGACCTTACTTTCTTATTTTGTTATAGTACCTGCTGAGGCTGCACAGTCCATGCATTGTACACTCTCCATAGTCTCCAGCTCCTCATCGACGACAAGTTCTACGCTATATTGTTTATTTCGTAACTTATACTCCGGACAAATTTTGCATTTTGATATGCATTTTGAACAGTTCCTTTTTAATTGCACATATCTAATGGCAGCATCTCCGTACTGCTCTCTTCCAGCACTAAAATATGTTTATTTCAAAATCCTATTGCATTTTTTTTCAAGGGTATATTAAACGTTAACATTAGGTAAATGGGTATGTATAGGTCTCTCTAGTCTGATAGAGCTAACAATAAGATAGTATCTTTTTCTGACTTACCTACCAGCTTTTACCCCTTTAATTTCTGCCAAAGTAAAACAGGGATTATTTTGTAAAAAAGTGACCACCATGAAGGAATCTATCCGTGGTAGATTATCAGATTGGCCTTTACAATAGGATTCAGTCATTGCAACAACTTTCACAAAAGAAACACACTTGAATAATACAAAAACGGCAGTACGACGGCACTGCGTCAACTAACTGTCAGAAGTACGTTTGTTGGGAATGCGTTTGTTGTTTACAAAATCATGACGTCACGTCTCTAAACCACGCGTTTTCGCGCCAAAGTTTTTAATTTGAATTTCAATTTAAAAAAAATTGTACAAAAAATTAATTAAAATGGAAAAAAAAGAAAACAATGCAATATCTGATCACTTGAACTATTTAAAAAAAAAATTGAGAAATATGAAAATCCCCTCTGGGTACGTGTCCACACACTTGAGCACCTTTTTGGCAATGCGGCGTTAAAGAGTTGTAAACTGATAAGGATTTTGTAAACTCATCTTTTCCTGATTCATTATGACCTTTTATCCTTAGGCGTATTTCCATAATATACAGGGTTTGATCAAAAAAACTAATTGATAAAATTACACAAAAATGATTAAGATATTGTGGAGAACTCACATTGCTTCAATTTACTATTAACTGGCTGCTAAGCAAGTAATGAAACATGCGATCCATTTCTGCTATTAAGAATTAGCTATTCACATTCCAAGCTGCGAAAGCATACTTTTAGGTGCGAAGTGCTGCGCTTCGCTTCGCCTAGGCTATTTGAATACCTCCGTCCACCTAGAAGAGCTCCGTTAAGCTGCCCCCCCCCCGAATTGATTTTCATTACCAAAATGCTGGCACAGGTAAAACATAGCTAGCACAACCTAGCACACCAATTTTTAACGCTAGCACACCCATAGTATAGCAAAAAATTGATTTCGAATTCGGGGGGGGGGGGGGGGGGCAGGTTAACGCTAGCCCCCCCCAATTGGATTTACTCAGCCAAAATGCTAGCACAGGTGCAAGATACCTAGCACAACCTAGCACACCATTTTTTAGAGCTAGCACACTCATAGTTTGGCAAAAAATTGCTTTCGAATTCGGAGGGCATGGTTAAGGCTAGCCCCTCCCCGTTCGATTGGATTTTCTTCGTCAAAATGCTGGCACACATTTAACAAACCGGGACGTAAAGAGATTTGCTGTTCCTACTCTACGTAGGAATGCAAAGATTGCACTATCGGAATATTCCGGGAATAGCTTCTACATGGGTACAACTCGCCAGTATCCTTGCCTTAGACAAGGAAAGAGAGAGAACGCGTAACATCCTTTAGGGCGAGCATTATAAAACTTCTTTGTGAGTTAACTTAAAGTTAACTTCTGGAATTACATGTAATTCAAAAAATTAACTTCAAGTTAACTATCAAAGCAGTTTTATAATACCCGCCCTTACCTGCACTAGCAGCTGGTTGTGACCGTTTGCCACCAAATAATGGCGACAATTTTTCATGGTGTCACTATGTGAATTTTACTTCAGACTAACATTTTTGTGAATTTCAGCATGGTGGATTGCTAGCATATGGCTGCAAAACCCGCAGAGAAAAAAAAGTCGACGGGATTACATTTAACAGGCAAAAAACAATATGCTTTCTAGGTTATGTTATGAAAAAAGCAGACATTTTTTGGTGGCAAACTGCTTCATTTTCACCTGCTGTGATACGAGTCCCCTCTCTTTCCTTGCCTAAGATTCTCTTGCTAACTGCTCTTCCTCATTACGAACAGGTGTTTCGTAGACTAAACTTTTCAGTCAATGTCCCGACGGTGCAATCTTTTCATTGAGGTAAATGGTCAACATTTTGAATAATTATTGTAAACCTCAGAGGAAACCATAATTTATTTGTTAATAAAGCAAAATTAATAAGTAGGTAAACAGTGATTTAATTATTGCGAAGAATAAGAGTACCAAACAGTTTTTTTGCTCTGCAGCCCAAATGGATTATTTGCGGACATATGTTTATATAAACAAAAATGCTTGTTTTGATGTTCCTTACTACCCCTCAAAGTTTGTCGGTATCTTTTTGGGACACCCTGATGTATACAAAAATTTCAGGTATTCTACTTTTTCGCCTTGAGTGCGGAAAAGTAATACTTTCATGACCTCAACGTGCGGTAAGGGTAAGGTGCACTTTTCCGCACGCTCGTAGAAAAAAATTATAAAAACAGCTGCGATTAGGGATGCCACCTTTGAAAGTAAGTTGAACCGGAGAAAAAAAACCATTATTGAAAGAAAGCTGAAAAAGAAAATCTGCAGCTCTACAATGCAACAGATGCATTACACTTTACTATCTGTCTATATGTATATACACAAGTCCCCCCTCCCCAGCAACACCGGATGTTGCTTGGGGAAACTTTGCTTGAGGTTGGGAGTTGAGACGGTTGGAGAAAAAGGTTCAAGAATATTACACACTAAACAGAATAGCCTATCTTCATAACGACACTACGACCGCTGACGCAAACAGTTAACGACACTGTTGATGACTTCGATAACGGTGCAACACTATAGTCTTGATTCCAAAAATCGAGTCCAATGAGCGGACGTGTAGTAGTGTTTAATATCCTTGAGGGAGATTATGAGGCTTTGAGGTTCGTGGGCTGTCTATTCTATCGCCAAACTGCATGTCGGAGTCGGAGAATTTCTCTATTTCTCCGAGAGAAACCGTATTTGCACAAACAGGATTGCGCGGTTGCTAAATTCTATTTTTCTTTTTTAAATGCGTTTTTTTTTTTGTGTTAAATGCGGTTTTACCCGGAGAAAACACCTAGTAATCCGGAGACTGAAGACCATGTAAAAACCAGTAGACTCCGGGTGAAACCCGGAGAGGTGGCAACCCTAGCTGCGATTTAATGAAACAACAAACAACCAATAATAATTGGAATAATCAAATCGATCAGATTATTCATTTGATGTTTTCGCGCTCCGAATCTAAAAGCAATTTTTGGCTTCTCCACAGATCTGCAAGCTCTAAAAATTGGTGTTCTAGGTATTTTTCTATCAGTGCCAGCATTTTGACGAAGAAAATCCAATCGAACAGGGAGGGGCTAGCGTTAACCACGCCCTCCGAATTCGAAAGCAATTTTTTGTCAAACTATGAGTGTGCTAGCTCTAAAAAATGGTGTTCTAGGTTGTGCTAGGTAGAGTGCCTCTATACAAGACAGTGGCGACAATAGCGCCTAAGCTCCGCCCACCCGCCATGTTTTGTCGAACTCATTCAATAATGTATTTGTTCTTCCTTTTCTTTCTGTTCTAATTTTTTCTCACAAAATAGTCAATAACAGGCACAAATAACAAAAACAAAAATATATTAACACAAAATTGCATAAATCTCCATAGAATCAAACTGTAAACACAAATAACTTTCGACAAAACATAGCCGATATTCTGCAGCCAATCAAAAATGAGTCCCTCTATTGTCGCCACTGTCTTCTATAGAGGCACTGTAGTGCTAGGTATCTTGCACCTGTGCTAGCATTTTGAGTTGACTGAGTGAGTCCCCTCCCACCGAATTGGAAATCAATTTTTTGCTAAACTATGGGTGTGCTAGCTCTAAAAAATGGTGTGCTAGGTTGTGCTAGGTATCTTGCACCTGTGCTAGCATTTTGGGTGAGTAAATCCAACCGGGGGGGGGGGGGGGGGGGGGGCTAGCGTTAACCTGCCCCCCCCCCCGAATTCGAAATCATTTTTTTGCTAAACTATGGGTGTGCTAGCTTTAAAAAATGGCGTGCTAGGTTGTGCTAGGTATCTTGCACCTGTGCTAGCATTTTGGCTGAGTAAATCCAACCGGGGGGGGCTAGCGTTAACCTGCCCCCCCCCCCCCCCGAATTCGAAATCATTTTTTTGCTAAACTATGGGTGTGCTAGCGTTAAAAATTGGTGTGCTAGGTTGTGCTAGCTACATTTTACCTGTGCCAGCATTTTGGCAACGGAAATCAATTCGGGGGGGGGCCAGCTTAACGGAGATACCTAGAAGGGCTTTTGCAGCGTGTAATGTATTAAACTTTTCATTCTTCCTCTTCAAAAATCGTGAATAGTCATGCGAAAATGAAACATGCTAGTAGCGAAAGTGAAAATAACAACTAGCATGTTTCACTTCCGCTTTCGCTCGCCTATACAAGATAAAAAAAAATCTACTTTCGTAGGGGGAAGAATGAAAACTAAACGGAATTTTCATATTTCTCAATTTATTTTTTTTTTAGATACTTCTAGTGATCAAATATTACAGAGATCAATTTTTTTCCATTTTAATTTATGTTGGACGTAAACAAAATTATTGAAATTCAAATCAAAAACTTTGGCGCGGAAACGCGAGGCTTCAATATGACAGCGCTTGTGACGTCAAGATTTCGTAATCAACAAACGCAGCAAACGAACTCCTGCTGACGCAGTGCTATTTTTGTGTTATTTAAAACTGGGAAAGCTTTCTTTTCGTGAAAATTGTCGCGATGGATGAAGAACATTGTATCGAACTGCTTTTGTAAATTTCGTTCCACTTGCAAGTTCCCTTTTGACAATTTTGTTTACAGAATCATGGAAGCACTGTTATGGCGGGAAATTTTTGAAGTGAAAACTTCTTTAGAATCGTTGGGAGTGATTTGAGACGATGAAACGGAAAAGCGACCTGAAACGAAAAAGCAACACTTTTTTAACACGCTTATATTACCACACAACAAGAACCTGGAACAAGCCAAGTGAGCTGGAACAAGTCTGGAAAATGTCTGGATAAATCTGGATGAAGTCTGGAAAAGTCTGGAAATCTCTGGAAACGTCTGGAAAGAGCTTGGAAATTTCTGGAAAGGGTCGGAAAAATTCTGCCAAAGGTCCCAAAAGACCTGGGGATCATTTTCCAGAATCCGGATAAGTCTGTACAAGTCTGGATAAGGTCTGGATAAATCTGGATAAAGTCTGTAAAACTCTGGAAAACTCTGGAAAAGACTTGGAAATTTCTGGAAAGGGTTGGAAAAATTCTGAAAAAGGTCCCAAAAGACCTGGGGATCATTTTCCAGAATCCGGATCAGTCTGAACAAGTCTGGATAAAGTCTGGATTAATCTGGATTAATCTGGATGAAGTCTGGAAAACTCTGGAAACCTCTGGATAAGTCTGGATAATGTCTGGAAATCTCTGGAAACGTCTGGAAAGAGCCTGGAAATTTCTGGAAAGGTCGGCAAAATTCTGCCAAAGGTCCCAAACGACCTGGGGATCATTTTCCAGAATCCGGATCAGCCTGTACAAGTCTGGATAAATCTGGATAAAGTCTAGAAAACTCTGGATAAGTCTGGATATTGTCTGGAAAAGTCTGGAAACATCTGGGAAAGACTTGGACATTTCTGGAAAGGGTTGGAAAAATTCTGAAAAAGGTCCCAAAAGACCTGGGAATCATTTTCCAGAATCCGGATCAGTCTGAACAAGTCTG